AAGGCAGCAAGCAGCCAATAATACAAGGAGTTGGATTGTCTGTCCTTCCATTTTCATACTTTTCGCATGTCTTTCTGTTTGTGTGATCACGATTAAGTCACGTCAATATTTTATATTTTATTATTTTTTGTTTATTATTTTTATAAAAAATTAATATAAAATATTAACGTAATTTAACTATAACCACACATGATAAATGTATAGAAATGAAATAGCAGACAATGCACCTACATAATACAAGGCACTGGATGCTTTTCTTTTGGTTCCCATCAGCAAAAGAGAAAATGAAAGGCAGCCTAAGCCTTTCTCGTTTCTGAAAAAAACAGAGAAAGACAGCCCGAGTGCTTCCAGTGGCAGTAGGGGTGTTGGCCACAACACGGTTTAGTGTGGGTCATAGTGTTAGATTGTGATTTTTTATTTATTTATTTTTTTTTTTTTTTGGACAAAGAAAAGTTAATATGATCGTTTACCTGAAGTAGGAGCAAAAGAATAAAATATTTAGAGTGGTCTATAGTAAGGTATACTGTTATAGCCGTTATATTTTGATATTTCTATTTTTAAATAAAAATTTAATAGTTAAAATGATAGAAGAGAAGCTATAGATAAGAAATGGTTAAACAATTTGAAATACTTGCTCACTCTTTCTTTATTTGAAACGGGAACGTCAAAACAGTGGTGTAATTAATTTATTACGTGCTATCACGTCACAAAGTTAAAATACAATGTGAAGTGGGGATAAATTTGAGCCATACTACTCTAAAGTTTCGGTGCAATGTAAGTCTCTTTGAAAGAAGCACCAAGGAAATCTCCATGCAAGAAATCAAGAGATCGAGCCCTCTGATTGGTGTGCAAGATAAATCATGGCCGTTGGTTATGTGTGAAGGATCAGAACAATGAATTAATGGAAATCATTGGATTAAATTTATGCAGCCTAGATCTCTTGATTCCATGAGCGGATCCGTTCCCACTTGTTTACGAGGAAAAGCTGAAGGATAAACGTCCATGTACTACCAAAGTTAAAGGAGAAGGATTTTCCGGAAAAAAAAAAATGGTAAAAGACTAACCATGAGAAATTTCCAGGAAGCTTCGTTGTTGGGACGTGTTATCTTTCTTCAGCTTTTCTCACCAAACCGATTGGATGCGAGACTTCGGACTTCTTGTAAGTTCCCAACTTTCTTATTATAATATATTCATGTCTCCTTAATTATGTTCCGTTAATTCGTTTGTTCTTACCAATGTGAAAAAGAAAGTAAAGAAATAATGTAGCCAATAATAGTACAAGGCAGTGGATGGTTTTCTTTTGGTTCCCATCAGCACAGAGAAAAAGAAGGCAGCCAACGCCTTACGGTTCCTAAAGGTATCGTTTGGTATGCAGACGGAACGGGATGGAACGGAATGGGACGGGACGGGACGAGACAGGACGGAACGGAACGGAGCAGGAGCAAAGATGCCCTCGGATGGAAACAAGGAGGAAGAAGAAGGAGACGGAGAGGTTATAATTTTGTGTTCCAAGGATGTGGAACGAGTCGTTCCAGGGGGGTGAGGTGGAACAAAAATTCACCCAAAACTCGTCCCGTGGAACAGCTCGTTCCACCCGTTTTAGGCGCACCAAACGTGAGACGGAACGCCTTGTCCCACTCTGTTCCGTCCCGTCCCACGTACCAAACGGTACCAAAAAGCAGAGAAAGATGGACACTTAGACGTTCATCTGTTGGTAGTAGTGGTGGTGGTGACCACACGGTTTAGTGTGGGTCATAGTGTCAGATGATGAATTATCTTTTTACAGAGAAAAGGCAGTATGATTGTTTGGATGACCTAATCAAGTAAAAGAATAAAAAATTTAGGGTTGTTTGTAGCCTTGTAGGGTGTTATGTTTGTTATATTTTGATATTTGTACTTTTACATAAAGATTTAATAGTTAAAATATTCAAAATATTTTATATTCTCGAGTACCGTAAAAATTTCGTATACAAAACAAGAGATGTATTATCCACACATTTCAAATTACTTTTCATATACTTTTTATTAATTTTTATGCGTTCATCTTCTTCAATTCATTCGATTTGACAACTGAAAATTAAAAGAATGTGTGTGGAGTAAAATAAAATGCGTAGATATCACATCCCACAAAACAATCGGTAATGGTCCAAAAAGAGAAAGAGAAGTTATGGTTAAACGTCGCTCAATCCTTTTTCTTTACGTGAAATCTGAGTGCCAAAATAACTGTGTAATTAATCTATTAAGTGTTATCCTGTCACAATGTTAAAAAGTGGAGATAAATATGAGTCACACCTAATGTTAAAAAGTGGAAATCTTCATACATGAGCTGTCCACTTTCCAAACTCGTTCAAGAGAAAAACCAAAGTTGAAGGACAATTATTTTCCACCAAAAAAGTGGCAGACCGACTATGGCATATTTCCATTCCTTGTTGGGACGTGTTATCTTTCTTCCGAGAAAAGATTTCATGTCTCTGTTTTTTTTCAAGAGGAAGATTTTTTTTTTCTTTTGGAAAACAGGGGAAGATAATTATGGCACCCACTATAAAACTTTTCTCATGATTTGTGGAACCAGTCTGCAGTGCATGAGAAGGTCGAGAAATTCTATAATTTAGGAGTAGGTTTAGTTTTAATCTGTTCAGTTTTTTTGTCAGAACTCAAAATCAAATCGGAATTATTGTTTGGTTTTATTTTTTTTCGGTTTTATTTTTTTCAATTCTATTCGGTTTTGTTTTATGTAAAACCTGATTCTTTTTTGTTTTTTTTTTTAAATCTGAAAAATATCATCAGGAACATAAAATCAAACTGTGCGAAGGCTTAGCAGCAAACCCAAATAATGTACTGCATGAAACATGTTTGTCCAACCACACTGACTACAACAATTCGTAAATCATGTTTGTTTACTGTATATCGTTTGGTCATAAATTATTTTAAATAATTTTTATTTAAAATTAAACATAAATATTACCTGACAAAATCTGATCGCATACATGCAATAAACAGATAGAATTTACGAATTCCTATTATCCTCACCAAAAAATCCGGACAGGATCTTGGGCTAACTTTGACTCAAGCTAGTTGATTGGCTGTTTAGCTCCATGTGAAAGCCATGTGATGCATATATTCAAGGCATGAATTCCTACTGGCATGAATTCTAAACAATTGGTAGTGGTCCCAGAAAAAAAAAGCGAATCCCACTTATCATGGTGATAGAAAGGAGCTGAATTTTTACACAATGGTGTGAGTTTGAATACCGTTAACGATTAATTTATTTTTGTAAGTGATTCTTTACAACAATGATAAAAAAATGTTGAATTTTTGTATGACGATATGAATTCATGTTCCGTCGATAATTAATCTAATATTTATTTTAATAAAATTTCTCGTTAGACGGAAAAATGAAACGGTCAAACGATCTTTGTTTAATCGCTTAAGCCGATGCTTAGTGTCGGATTTAATAGCTCCATGTGAAAGCCGCGTGATGACTGCAAGCAGCAATATTTTAAGACATTGGATGCTTTTCTTTTGGTAGTAGTGGCGCTGGTGTCCACAAGGTTTAGAGTGGGTTATAATGTCAGATGGTGAATTATTCTTTTTTATGAAACAGGAACATTAAAATAATAATGCAACTTTTACGTGTTATCATATCATAAAATTAAAATGCGATGCAAAATAAGAATAAATTTAAGTCACAATAAAGGATATTATATATACTAAGAGAGAAGAATGATGAGCTTAGTCTTACAATATGTTAGTAATAATATTGTTTAAATTTGTTTTTGACTAGAATCGAACGTAATAATTCTCACTTACAAATGAAGATGAATATCACTAGATTATAGTACTAATATTGCAAGGACAAATTGTTTTCCACAAAAAAAGGGTGGGAGACCACTATGAGAAAATTTCCGGGAAGATTCCATGTTGGGACGTGTTATCTTTCTTCACCTTTTCTCTCCTCACCAAAGGGATTGGGTGCAATATTTCTAAGCAAGTTCCCAACTTTCTTCTAAGAAAATATTTCTTCGAAATATCAAGGAAATTCTCATGCAAGAGTTGTACACTTTCCAATATTTGTTCAAGAGGAAAAGCTGAAGGGAAACATATTATGAAACCTTAATTTATTAGCAAGCCATTAATCACGTGTACTACCAAAGTGAAAGGATAAATTGTTTTTTTTTTTTAATAAACGATATTATCTACGTTAAAAATAAGAGAATGTGATTAACCTTACAATAGGCTATTAATAATGTAGTTCAAATTCGTCTTTGACGAGAATCGAATATAAAAATTCTCACTTATAAATGAAGATGAATACTATTATATTGTAATGCTAATGTCGCGAGGACAAATTGTTTTCCACCAAAAAAGGTGGGAGACCGCCTATGGGAAGATTTCCGGGAAGATTCCATGCAGGTACTGAGGTACGTGTTATCTTTCTTTACCTTTTCTCTCCTCACCAAAGTCATTGGGTGCAATATTTTTGAGTAAGTTCCCAACTTTCTTCTAAGAAAAAATTTCATGTCTCTTTGTAACTTTTCTCATTGGGTGCAATATTTCATCCACTATGAAACTTTTCTCATCCTTTTTGGGACTGTTCTGCAGTGCCTGAGCGAGCAGGTTGAAGAACTCTTTGATCCAGTATAGCCCTAACTCAAGGGCTCATCAAATTTATTCCCAGTTAGGTGCAATTGATAAGTGTTTTCGATTGTGGTATGAAATCTGAAGCCCAAGTAGTATTTGAAATAAATTTAACCAAACTATTTTATGACATATTGAATCATCAAGAGCAGGATTCATGTACCCTTATACAGAACTTAAATACGAGTTTGTTTGCCTTTCAACATTTATTGAGAAATTTGGAAAAATAATCGAATAATATTTAAATTAGATGATCAAACCAAGAAAGTAAATCAAGGGAATCGGTGGTCGTCTTAAGCACTAACAATTTACTAGTTATAAAATTAAGGGAATCGGTCGTCGTTTGTCTGCGACTCAATACCAGAAGCTGAATTGTGTCATTATTTTAACAAAGTTGATTAACAATGCAATAAAAAAGAATAATTAACCATTGAGATCGATCCAAATCATGTATATTGACATGCAATGCATTAGGTGTTGGTAAAGGAGCCTTACACGTGTCCAGAGTTTTTGACATTTCTCGGTCGCCCATCTTGATGTTGATGACCTCTAACTAAAGCCAAACCTTAGTAGTTTTAAAAAGAGTGGACGGCTGAAGATAACACCGTGCATGATGCAGTTGCAGACGAATTAACTTCATTCTTTGCAAGCAAGAGCAATAGTTGGAATAACTCAAATTTGATGGCTACATTCAGTTGGGTGAGGGTTGGGAGGAGGGTCCTCTACAATATTTCAGACTGAATATAATTTGTCACTTTTAACTTTCTAGATTCAATTCAACAATTATCGACAATTGTCGCAAGAGGTTGATCAACATTGCTCCTACTCCTCAAGACCTACAACAAAAGTAAGCATGGAAGCATAAGCAAGAGGTCTTCAAAGAACTTTTGTGTAATAAAACTTCTCAGTGGCATTTGATTGGTTTCTAAGGTAAAGTTTCACCTAATCGTTCATCTATTTTATCTTCTTTCTTCAACCAGTCATATCTGACCTATAGTTGGTAGCAATATGAAAAAAAAATTTTGTCACTTTTAACTCTAGATTCTATTCAACATTTATCACAAGAGGCTGGTCAACATGGCTCTAGTCCTCAAGATCTACAGCAGAAGTAAGCAGGTAAGCAAAAGAAGAGGTCTTCAAAGAACTTTTGTGTGATAAAGCTTCTAGGTCGCATTTCATTGGTCTCTAAGACAAAGTTTCGCTTAATCGTTCATCGACTTTATTTTCTTTCTTCAATTGGTCATATCTGATTCATAGCTAATAACGACATGAGGAAATATTTTGTCACTTCTGACTTTCTATATTCAATTCAACAGTTGTCATAAGACATTGTTGGCCTACATTGCCTCTAGTCCTCAAAGATCTAAATTGATGTTTACTGCTCTCTACTAAACCCCTCCATTGTATTTCCTTATTATTGTTATGATGTAGTCCCTGATAACTCAGTTTAAGCCCCTGATAATTTGATTTCATCTTAAGTCCCTGATAACTCAGTTTAAGCCGTTGAATCTCATTCAGTTACCGGAAGAGGGGTTCTGCAAACAAAAACAGTAGTCAATGAACAAGTACAACAAAAATGAGCAGTGAAATGAAAATAGGAACTTTAAATCTTGTTATGGTAATTGAAAATGTATATTAAGCAAAGGAGATTAAGGACTCAGAGAAACCAGAAAAACAAAATACAGGATCAACACAAAATTACACAGGCAGAGAAAAGTGACAATGGCAAAGAAAGAAGAAGAAAAATCACACCGAAAATTCTCGCAGAAAAGTTGTAGCAAGAGAGGAAATTGAGAGAGGAGGAAAGGAAACAAATGGGAAAGAGATGGACAGCCGAGTACTACTTCTACTGGTAGTGGTGGTGGGGACCACACGGTTTAGTGTTGGTGGTAGACTGATAGTGGCAGATGGTGAATTGTTTCGTCAAGTTAGTTAGTATATGACTGTTTACCTAAGTAGAAGTAAAAGGTGGAATAGTAACTATGAGAAATTATCAGGAAGCTTCCTTGGGACGTGTTATGTTTCTTTACCTTTTCTCACCAAAGCAATTGAATGCATGCCTTCTTTCTCTGTAAGTTCCCAGCATTCTTATCAGAGTATATATATATATATATATATATATTCATGTCTCTTTGATATGTACCGTTAATTCGTTTGTTACCAATGTAAAAAGGTGAAGAATTAAAGCTGAGGTTTGATGTAACCATACATGGGTATGAGAAAACTTTCGGTTCGGTTAATTTCAATTTCAGGTTTTGGTCATACTAACCAACAGTTAATCGATCTTTGTTTGATCGTTTTGGCCAATGGTCGTTATTTCTAATCGAAAAGATTAAACATAATTCCGTCCAGAATTATAGCATGCAAAAAGTTATTTTTAAATAAATAATATCATGTCATATTCATATACTATCTTCAACTAAATAATAGTTCCACAATAATTTATTAGTTTTAAGTTTAAATTTATTGGTTAATTTAGTTAAACTACTGTTAGATGTCTTCAAATCTAATTAAACTAAGAGGAGGGGCTATATTTGACTAGCATGATGCCCCTTGGCCAAATTATAGCTTGATGAGCTCTATAAAATTATAGTCTGGCCATCGGTTAGATATGAGTTTTTGGCAAATCATGTCATGTCTTTTTTTTTCTTTTAAACATTTAGCCTTCTCCATTAGAGATGACTTACTATTGGATTTTGTGGGTCTGGCTCATTCGGGTTGGGCCCTTTATTTTTACTCAAGCCAATTGATTGGTTGTTGCCACTTAATATTATAGTTTAGTGATATTCCTCTTTACTTGTAATTGTGAGGTTATGTTCTATTCTTGCAAAAAATGAATTTTGAACCATATTATTGCTAACCTATTATGAGGTTTAGTCTATTTTTCTCAATTCTTAAAATAAATAATATTGTTTGTCAAAAAAAAAAAAATTTGATTGGCTGTTTTAATAGCTCAATGTGAATGCCACGTGATGACTATGTTAAAAGGCAGCAAGCAGCCAATATTACAAGGAGTTGGATTGTTGTCCTTCCATTTTCATACTTTTCGTATGTCTTCCTGTTTGTGTGATCACGATTAAGTCACGTCAATATTTTATATTCTTATTATTTTTTGTTTATTATTTTTATAAAAAATTAATATAAATTATTAACGTGATTTAAACATAACCACACATCATAAGACATGATAAATGTATAGAAATGAAATAGCAGACAATCAACCTACATAATACAAGGCACTGGATGCTTTTCTTTTGGTTCCCATCAGCAAAAGAGAAAATGAAAGGCAGTCTAAGCCTTTCTCGTTTCTGAAAAAAAACAGAGAAAGACAGCCCGAGTGCTTCCAGTGGCAGTAGGGGTGTTGGCCACAACACGGTTTAGTGTGGGTCATAGTGTTAGATTGTGATTTTTTATTTTTTTTTTATTTTTTTTGACAAAGAAAAGTTAATATGATCGTTTACCTGAAGAATAAAATATTTAGGATGGTTTATAGTTTGATATTTCTATTTTTAAATAAAAATTTAATAGTTAAAATGATAGAAGAGAAGCTATAGATAAGAAATGGTTAAACAATTTGAAATACTTGCTCACTCTTTCTTTATTTGAAACGGGAACGTCAAAACAGTGGTGTAATTAATTTATTACGTGCTATCACGTCACAAAGTTAAAATACAATGTGAAGTGGGGATAAATTTGAGCCATACTACTCTAAAGTTTCGGTGCAATGTAAGTCTCTTTGAAAGAAGCACCAAGGAAATCTCCATGCAAGAAATCAAGAGATCGGGCCCTCTGATTGGTGTGCAAGATAAATCATGGCCGTTGGTTATGTGTGAAGGATCAGAACAATGAATTAATGGAAATCATTGGATTAAATTTATGCGGCCTAGATCTCTTGATTCCATGAGCGGATCCGTTCCCACTTGTTTACGAGGAAAAGCTGAAGGATAAACGTCCATGTATTACCAAAGTTAAAGGAGAAGGATTTTCCGGAAAAAAAAAAATGGTGAAAAACTAACCATGAGAAATTTCCAGGAAGCTTCGTTGTTGGGACGTGTTATCTTTCTTCAGCTTTTCTCACCAAACCGATTGGATGCGAGACTTCGGACTTCTTGTAAGTTCCCAACTTTCTTATTATAATATATTCATGTCTCCTTAATTATGTTCCGTTAATTCGTTTGTTCTGACCCTTAATAAAGTGAAAAAGAAAGTAAAGAAATAATGTAGCCAATAATAGTACAAGGCAGTGGATGGTTTTCTTTTGGTTGGACAGAGAGAAAGAAAGGCAGCCTACGCCTTCCGGTTCCTAAAAAGCAGAGAAAGATGGACACTTGGACGTTCATCTGTTGGTAGTGGTGGTGGTGACCACACGGTTTAGTGTGGGTCATAGTGTCAGATGATGAATTATCTTTTTACAGAGAAAGGTTAGTATGATTGTTTGGATGACCTAATCAAGTAAAAGAATATGTCTGTTATATTTTGATATTTGTACTTTTACATAAAGATTTAATTGATAAAATATTCAAAATATTTTATATTCTCGAGTACCGTAAAAATTTTGTATACAAAACAATAGATATATTATCCACATATCTCAAATTACTTCTTATACATTCTTTTTTAATTTTTATGCGTTGATTTTCTTCAATTTATCCGATTCGACAGCTAAAAATTAAAATGATGTGTATGAAGTAAAATAAAATGTGTAGATATCACATTCCACAAAACAATTGGTAATGGTCCAAAAAGAGAAAGAGAAGTTATGGTTAAACGTCGCTCAATCCTTTTTCTTTACGTGAAATTTGAGTGCCAAAATAACAGTGTAATTAATCTATTAAGTGTTATCCTGTCACAATGTTAAAAAGTGGAGATAAATATGAGTCACACCTAATGTTAAAAAGTGGAAATCTTCATACATGAGCTGTCCACTTTCCAAACTCGTTCAAGAGAAAAACCAAAGTTGAAGGACAATTATTTTCCACCAAAAAAGTGGCAGACCGGCCATGGCATATTTCCATCCCTTGTTGGGACGTGTTATCTTTCTTCTGAGAAAAGATTTCATGTCTCTGTTTTTTTCAAGAGGAAGATTTTTTTTTTCTTTTGGAAAACAGGGGAAGATAATTATGTCACCCACTGTAAAACTTTTCTCATGATTTGTGGAACCAGTCTGCAGTGCATGAGAAGGTCGATAAATTCTATAATTTAGGAGTAGGTTTAGTTTTAATCTGTTCAGTTTTTTTGTCAAAACCAAAAATCAAATCGAAATTATTGTTTTGTTTTATTTTTTTTCGGTTTTATTTTTTTCAGTTCTATTCGGTTTTGTTTTATGTAAAACTTGATTCTTTTTTTTTTTTTTTTAAATCTGAAAATAATCATCAGGAACATAAAATCAAACTGTGCGAAGGCTTAGCAGCAAACCCAAATAATGTACTGCATTAAACATGTTTGTACAATTGAGGCTAAAATGATCAATTACCCATTTCTGCCCATAATAGGCAGAAAGATAATTGGACCATATGGTTCAGCAAAGGAACTCTTCTTTACTATCAATCACGACACAGAAATAAATTAAAGACATCACTTTGGTAATGTGATAATTTACGCAAACTCGATCAGATGGCCGCTAATAAATAATACAGCGATGTTATGTACGATGAAAAGTATGAGCCACAATATGCCCTTTGATATATTTGTATCGAGTGAATTATGTTAATGATAATCAACTTTTACAAGAAACCCGACCACACCCTCAGTATCTATATAAAAGCACAACAATTTGTTTATACAAGTGTATACACAACAACGCACTGTCCTCCCGTAAAAGACAAAATTAAAAAAACGACTTCGTTTTAGGTGTTACTTAGGTTCGGTTTGGTTTTTGAACCATAAAAACTGAAACCAAACTAACCAATTTCAGTTTAGTTCGGTTTTGTATTGATACGATTTTTTGAACCATCCCTATTCTAATCTAGTGTATAGCCCTGACTCCAGGGCTCACCAAATTTGTTCCCAGTCAGATGCAATGAGGGTTTTCGATTTTTGTATGAAATCTGAAGCCTAAGTAGTATTTGAAACAAGGGAGTTTTAACGAAAAGCTCTCGGTATTGTTCACTTTAACGAAAAATCACATTTTTACCTAAAAAGTCAATCATGATACTATTCACTTACAACATTTTTTTGTTATTTTCGTTAAAACTCAAAGTTTTGAAGCCATTTTCATTAGTTTCCTTTAAAAAACCATTGTAATCCAAATTATTTGATGACATATTGAATCATCAAGAGCAGGATCATATACCCTTCCTTGTACTTAAATACGAGTTTGTTTGCCTTTCAACATTTATAGGGAAATTTAGAAAAATAATCAAATAATATTTAAATTAGATGATCAAACCAAGAAAGTAAACAAATGGCCTTATTTTTAGCTACATCCCATGAAACTCGATTTTAATCTCACTTTACTCAACTCAAAAGTTGCAACTCCATGAAACTCAAAATTTGCTCCGCTTTGCCTCTGCAACTCGATTTTGGTCTCATTTTGTCTCTTGAAACTTGAAGTCCTCTACAAAACTCAAAATTCACTTTACATTGCCTTAGATCTGTTAATTTCTTATGTGGGTCATTTTCTTTTTTATTTATTTTTTTATCTCTTCAATTTCTTTTAAACTTAATATTCTCTGGTTGTTGAATGTTAATGAATAATAGAGATTTATAATCAAATTTAATGCACATGTGACATAGTATTATTTGGTGTTGGATCTCACATATGTTTCAGCAGCTCAACCAATAAGTTTTACGGAGAAGAGAGAGTCTACAAGTTAAAGAGGAACGGATTTTGAGTTTTAGTAAAGTGGTGACTTTTGAGTTACATGAGACAAAGTGAGATCATAATGAAGTTCTAAGGGGTGTAGCTAAAAGTAAACCCAAACAAATGATTAGTTATTTGATAAATTGAGAACGTAAGCATCTCTATTAATAGATAAACAGTTGTGTATAGAGCCAAAATAAAGATTGGAAAAATAGAATGAACCTTAGTGTCCGGAGCCTCCTCATCCACAAATCAGGGCCGTTGGTTGTGTGTGGTGGAGGAGGCTCCAGACACTAAGGTCCGGAGCGGATTCAAATCCGGAAAAATAACGAATAAACCACAAGAAGAGCTAAACTAGGCCAATACCAAACTAAAAGAACAAAACTTGACAACCAAAAACGTGTGAAAGGGAACTTGAATTAATAGTTACGAATTTCAAGGAAGCTCATTCTCGATGCATTGCAAAAATTCTCAAGAAACTAGAATATAATTTGAACTAAATGTCGTTAACGAATAGTCTTCAATCCCTTGCTAAGTAACAAAAATAATTAAATAATTATGTAACAAGTGCATATTTGTGAATAAAAGTCCGGATATAAGTTGAAGCGTACTCGTAAATTTCTGAATGAGGCAAATCAAATTGCGGGCATCATCAGTATACCAAGAACTATCTTCGGAAGATTCACAATTCTCATCAAATAGTTTAACCGACTTTTGGTGCATTCACATTTAAGAAGATGTTTCGACTCCTTCATGCTGTTACAAATAATGCAACAGTTTCTGATCAGTCATCTTCGTCATCATCTGTATTACCATAAAATTTGTTATCAAATTACAAAGAACAAGATGTTTCTTCTTCACTTTTGTCTTGTGCATGGGTTTAGTTAGACGAGCTTGAGCGAGATGAGTTTCAGAGCATGTAATGTTGCTCTTTAGCCTTCATCCGCATTCATTTTTTTTCGCTCATCCAAATTGTTTAATGTGATGATGTGCGAACACAAAATATTCATTGAGCCTTACTTTACCTTTGGAGTACTTTCGGAGCTAGTTTGACCAACTTAGACGTAGGAAGCGGAATCGACTCTTTGATGAACCTAAACATTAAAACACTGACACTATATGCGTGAAAATTTCATTCATGATTAGGCTGGGACTCCTACCAAGGCTTATTTATGAGCACGATATGCAACATTGGATCCATATCTCTTAATTCAATGTTTACTTATCAGGAATGAGAGAACTTAGAAGTATGAAAATGTAAGAGAAGGGAATCGGCTCAACTAGCCGTCCTAGTCGATATGCTTCTTGATATTTTGATATTTTAAAGAAAGCTAACATTTTTTCAATTCCTTATGGATTAGTAAATACAAGAGAAAATTTAATTAATTACATTCGAAATAGACAACTACTTCCAAAATCAATTTTGTCAATACCAAACCTATATAGTTAGTGATACTTATCTTTTACTTAACTCAAGCCCTATAATGTAAAATATTGTTGTTTATTAAAAAATAAAATAAAAATCAACCTATAGAATTTAGTTTGGTTCGGGCTGTTTGAAAAATGGGCCGAGATTCATTTGCAACCCATATCTCGAAGTCCCCGTTACTTTGCTTCCAATGGAATTTGCAGCCCATTTTCCCGCGAGATCCAGCATCTCCAATCTTCGTCGTTACGTTTTCATCTTCTTTTTCTCCTTCCGAGTTCCAACAATGGCTTCCTGAATCCGATTCTGGAGCTCCATCGCCACCATCGTCAACCCCAAAGATCACATCATGAAGCTTGCTCTTTCCGTCCTCTTCCTCTCTCTCAGGCTTCTCCTCTTTTCTTCGTCCTGCCACTGCTAGAGGCGGCCTTCACAGTTCCTACCCTCCAGGTCCCCATCTCCTCATCTGTCATATATATATATATATATATTCATGTGTGTGCATTTAGTTCTCTGGGAGTTGAAAAACTGAGATTACAAGAACAAGAAGTAAATTGAAAAATTTTCCCTTGATATTTCAGGTACCAAACGATAGTTAATTATGATCAGATGGATTATCATGCCTATTGCTTCCTTAAATTCTTTACATTTTAGGTGGATTAGCGCTACTAGAAAAGGAAACTAAATCTTTAAGCATTAAGAATTTAGCTAATTGTAAATTAAATGTTGATAGGTTTCGAATTTGGTCCTCGCGCTGGTTCCGGCAGGCAATTGTTTGAAGATAAGGAAGCTCAGGCGCGGTATTTATCACTAAAGTTGAAGCTTAGTAGCTTAACAAGAATTATATAATCTAATTTGATATAATTATGTGTTTACTGAAAATGTGAAAAAAATTGGTGACACAGTGTTGATGTAGCTCAAGGGTACATGATAACTCTGACCTGGGACAGGCCATTAAGGCGTTCGGCCAAAGATGCGGTAACATTTCTACGGCTTACAGGTGATTACTTGGGCTTGTGCATTTTTAACATTTGCCAGATTATAATTTTACCACTTGTTAGTAGAAATAAAACAATTTTATTTGTTAGTAGTAGTTTTAGCTGGGTAAATACAGGAGTTTAATTGTAGGATTTTTGTTGAGGGATTTTTCAAATGGATTATCAGTTTTGGGAAGAGTGTGAATATGATTCAAAAGAACAGGAACCTGCTTTGATTCCTTCAAGATTAGCACAAATTAGTCCTTGCAGCTGCTTGAAACTGAAATTAACCATAGAGCTGTGTAATAATGCGTCAAATCACCAGTACCTGAAATCTTTTTGCAACAATAACGCTGAATAAGGGTCAGAAATTTAATTACATTGATTGCTTATTAGTGGAAGTTAAAAAAGTGCGATATAGCTTCTAGCTTATTGCACCCTTGAATCCAGAAGGGTGCAATACCTGTTTACCACCGAATTGAGTTGATTCTGGTATTGGAGAATATCCATCTGCACTCTTTAGAAAAGTTTTATTCATTCCGCTAGTTCAATTATGTTACTTGTCCCTCAGAAAGGACAGACTCTATCAATTGTATGTGTTTTGAGGGCAGTTTTAGTCACCATTTTTTTGTTACTTTTTCTCTGATCTTGTATGGAAAGAAATAAGGGAAACTGCTACGAGCTACTTATGACCGCAAGAAACTTATAATGAAACTGAGAAGCTGTAATATGACAAAGATTATAATTTATAAGTACACGCCAAAAAATCACGTGCAATTGGATATTTTCATTTCCCTCTTCTTCTTCCTTAAAAAGTTCATTGTTTCTGAATTCCACTGCAACTAGTAATATATTATTAATATTTTGATTTATTGTTAGTCTTTCATTTTCCACCTGCCATATTTCCCGTTTACTGTTGAAAACTGAGGTCATGGATTTCACTTTTTGTCGAAAAAGTTTTGCATACTACCCGGATTTCAATTTATTTAGTGTTCGCATACATTGACAGTGTAGTACTTTTGTATTCTGTGTGCTTCTTGAAAACTTTCTTTTGTTCCTTTTCCATTCCCCAGAATGTAAATCGATTGTTACTCGTTCATACAATTTCAAGTGATAGTTTGAGCATTTTTTGATGAATATGCTGGGTGCCGCAGTACATTGGAAATGTGCATGGAGATGAACCTGTAGGCCGTGAGCTTCTAATTCTACTTGCATTGAATATGTGACAACTATTTGAATGATCCTCTGGTATTTTTCTTTCCTTTTATTGTAGGTGTATGCCTAATTATTGTTCTGTAACTCTTTAGTGTTATACCCTACTTTGCTTTGTAATTTATGGCAATTTTAAGTTACTTTATTCTAACATTTTTGTCTTGTCCCTTGTTGAATGTTTTCCCTCATTGCTCTTATTTTCATCTATTTGTTCCTGTTTCGACATATCTGCTTTGCAAATAAAGAAGAAAACTACTTTTAGACACTTCTGGAAGTTTTCCTCTACTTGATTAGTCATTTGTGAATTTTCTACACTTGGATTGTGATGTGTAAAGACTTGGTTGTCGTTGTAGGATTCATACAGCTGACGCTACTTAATGGTGTTTTAGGATTCAAATTGTAACATCAATTTTTTTTTTTTGGTGAGGAAACAAATTGTAATATCATTGAAAATTGTTTGAACCCCTTGTTTCCAAGAGCTTAATCATCTCAATCATTTGAATCTGATCATTAGCTGCACCCAAAAATCAAACACACAAATTTCATAAGAATAATGTTAACTCAGGTTCTACTATTAAGGTATTTAGAGTTGATGACAGCAATGATATGATCAAATAAATAACTGGGAGATGTAGATTTTCAACAGGTTTGCAGTCATTATTAACCATACAAAAATCTCAACAGATTCACTGCAACCTTTCTGCAACTTCAACTAAGAACTCATCTGCTATCAACTTCTCTGTGATCCGTAACAACAAAATTTATTAAGACTGCAGTTTATGTAAAAGCCCCAAACTTATTTCACAACTCAACTAGCAGAGCTTTAGAGAATGAGAGTACCAAAACCAAAAGAGAGACTAAGATTTGGAGTTAGCTTTATGAGAGATTACATTAACATAAAAATGGAATAAGATCACCAAAACACAATAAATAAAATTGGATTTCATGATAATACTACCAGACTAATTATGGAGTAGTAGCAAGTAAAGATGATAAGAATTACCGGAGCTTGGCTCCAAAACGGGGCACTCTATTCTTATTGTTGCCATGGTCCCTCAATCAGCTTTCTCTAACACTGAAACATATTAAAAAAAACAACAAATCAGCTTTAAACAAACACTAAAATCCCCAGAAGGTAACAATTAGCCTTCCAGTTTCTAGTCTCCGAACACAGTAGCTACTTATATCATGCTAAGCGATGACAATGAACCATGTTTAGTTGGTCAACCTAAAATCAAGCAATCTAGCTCGAACTCAATTCACTTGCGAAACGCAAGATGGTTCGATCGGGAGACAAAATGTGGGTTTATGGCCAATGGTTTTCATCAAAAACCAGGCATTGGTTGCAATGAGACTTTTAGTCTTGTGCCATTTGGCTTGTTCTTAGTTTGGCAGTGTCAAAGAAGGGGCATGTAAGACAGTTGGACGTCCAGAATGCTTTCTTACATGGTTATCTCACTGAGAAAGTTTATATGAAACAACCAGCGGGTTTCATTGACAAGAGTACCTACACCATGTTTGCAAGTTGGAGCACAGTTCATGTGGGTTAAAACAAGTGTCGAGAGCTTGGTTTTAGAGATTTTCTGATTTCTTGCTTCAATTGGGATTTTAAGAATCTGAGTGTGATTATTCTTTGTTTGTGTTTAATCAAAGAGGAGTATATCTTATCTTACTAATCTATGTGGATGCTATATTGCTCATAGGAAACAACACTTATCAAATGGCTCGGTTGATAAAGAGATTGGGCACTTTATTTTCCATGAAGGAATTGGTGCCTCTCAACTACTTCCTAGGTGTTGAAGGAACTTGCTATGGTGATCAAATGCATCTCACACAGTCCAAATGTCCTGGACTTGCTGGAACGTACTAAATTTACCAATGCCAAGCCAATCTCGACTCCAGTTTCTTCTGGACAAAAACAGAGTGCTTTTGGGGATGAATCATATACTAATCCTGAATTATACCGAAGTGTTGTAGGTGCCCTACATTATTTGACCATTACGAGACCTGATCTTTCTTATGTTGTGAACCAAGTGTGTCAATTCATGCATTCGCCAACAACACGCATTGGATGACAGTTAAAAGGATCCTACGTTATTTGTAGGCTACCTATTTATAGGGTCTTGTTTATAGACCTGGAAGTGTACAATTGACTGCTTTCTCCGGTGCAGATCGTGCAGGAAACCTAGACACACGCCATTCAACTGGAAGCTTCTGTGTATACTTGGGTAAAAACTTAATATTGTGGAGTTCGAAGAAACAGAAAACGGTTTCCAGGCTTAGCACCGAAGCTGAATATAGGCAGTGTGCGTACAGTGCTGCTGAGTTGTCTTGGTTACGTTCGTTGTTCAAGGACGTACATTTGAATCTTTTAAGACCACATATTTGGTGTGATAATGTGTCCTCCATTGTCTTAGCATCCCATCTAGTTTTCCACTCAAGAACAAAGCACTTTTGAACAAATGTTAAAGAACCAAGCACTTAGAAGTTGATTATCATTACGTCAGGGAGAGGGTCGAAAACTCTCTAATTTAGTGTAGCCTTGACTCAATGGCTCACCAAATTTGTTCCCAGTCAGATGCAATTGATAAGGGTTTTAGATTTTGGTACGAAATCTGTACCATACCTAGTATGTTGAGAATGAGTCCTATATTGATGGAAGGAAGAACTTTTCATGGGCTTATAAGTAGTTGAACTACTCCATATATAGTCAATTGGTTTTATGGTGGAACCTTAATTTCTTCATAGTATTAGAGCAAGTTGTTCCACGTATGAAGTCAAACGGTCAAACGGTCACATGCGCTCAATGTCATCCCGTTGTGTTATCCACGTGTTAGATTTGAAAATTCGTCACACGTAAAGGGGCATATTGAGAATGAGTCATACGTTGATGGGAGGAAGAACCTTGCATGAACTAATAAGTAGTTAGGCTACTCTCTATATAGCCAATTGATTTTATGGTGGAATCACAATTTCTTCATAAGCAATTGTAATCCAAACCATTTGATGACATATTGAATCAATATAACTCTTAATTCAATATTTACTTATCTTAAATGAGAAAATAAAGGAATGAAATAACTTTTTGAGGATATCGATATATTTTTACACTAAGGAGAGGGGAGTTCAACTAAACACAATGGGTAACCTAATTTGGTATGGAATTCGATTCGCCATCCACGAGATTCGAACCTAAGACCTCTCACTTCCAAGTGAAGAGGAATACCACCAGACCGTAGTACCGAATGACAAGGAATGAAATAACTTAGAAATATGAAAAGTAAGAAAAGAGAACCAAATCAAATGGCCCCCTACTTGATATGCTTCCTAATTGTTAGGTATTTTAAACGAAAAATTATTTTTTCAATTTCTTGCAGATTAGTAAATACAGGAGAAAATTTATATAAATTACATTTGACATCTGGTAAATCCACTCTGAAATAGACAACCACTTCCAAAATCAATTTTTTCACTACTAATATAGTTAGTGACATTTCTACTCAATTTAATTCAAACCCTATAATGTAAAATATTGTTGTATATATATAAAAAAAAAATCAACCGATTTAATTTAGTTTGGTTCGGGCGGTTCGAACGGTTCATCCGGTTAGGTTTGTAGGCTTATTTAGGCCCAAACAAAAGTTGTTTAACAAATGGGCTGAGATCCATTTGCAACCCATACCACGAAGTCCCCATTTCTTTGTTCCGATTGGAAATTGCAGCCCATTTTCCGGCGATCCAGCATCTCCGATCTTCGTCGTTACGTTTTCATCTTCCTTAACTCCTTCCGAGTTCCAACAATGGCTTCCTGAATCCAGCTCCATCGTCTCCATAGTCAACCTCAAAGATCCCAGAATGGAGCTTGCTCTTTCCATCCTCTTCCTTTCTCTCAACTTCTCCTCTTTTCTTCGTCCTGCTACTACTAGAGGCGGCCTTCATACTTCCTACCCTCCAGGTCCCCATCTTCTCATCTGTGCTATATATATATATGTATGTATATTAGTATGCATTTTATGTTAAGTGTTCATTTAGTTTCTTGGTTGTTTTTGGTAGTTGAAAAACTGAGATTACAAGAACCGGAAGTAAATTAAAATATTGTAGTATTTAGTACTTACCAAGTAAAGAGCGATTGCATTAGTGCTTGTCAGCTTGTACTCTGGAGACTTTTAGGAAGAAAGGTTTTTGTAAATTGATTCATCCACATTCATTTTTTTCGCTCATCCAAATTGTTTAACTCAAAAGATACATAGTGTTCATAGGTTTTAATGCTAATGGATTCCTTGATTCGGATGCGGAGAAATTAGTTATTACCAATTCTTTTGTTGTTCTTTTTGCAAATTATCCATAAAAGTTCTGCATAGAAGTTTAAATTTCATAAACTACCGTGTAAATAGGGTTTTGAAAGGGTACGCAAATTCAGCTGAAAACCTACCGTTCTAAGTTTTACAACTTTTTGTCCAAAGATGACAGGAAAAATACTCTCAATGCTTAGTTTTTGCATCACCAAAGCCAAGTTTTAATCAAACCAAAGTTGTTGAGCAAAAAGTGTTGTTTCCTTAGCAACGTTTCTGTTTCTGGACTACAAGTTTGCATTGGTTACAAAATCAGACAGAAACAAATCAATTTCTGCCAGAGTACAGAAGTTTGAATTCAACCCCTGGTGTACATGTTAACGCTAATGGCGTCTTCAGAAACCCCCATGGCGTTGCGAGTTTCCAAGGTACCCACTTGCTGCATTAGGCAAGATGATCAGATTGTTAATCAATCTTCTTAATGCCCAAGTAATCTGCAAAAGTGTTTATACATCAACATTCTTATCCACTCTGCCCTTTCAGTAAATAAAGCCATCTTAATATATAGCTCGAGAGATCGATTACATTTACTAAGATGTCGAAACAAAAAATAATTTTGATGACAATTATGCTGATGTGATGAATCGATGGTTACTTACTTGCATTTTTTGTGACATGGTGACTAGTTACAACGCCTTTTGCAAATTTGTTCTGTGTCGTTGAAGCTAGCACTTCCGGGTCCACTTGGAGCTACCTCGTCACGATATTCGCATGTTCATTTCAGTAGTTTTTGGTTGAGTTCTTTCAAATCTTGCTTGTACACCAAACGAGCCCCACACTTCTTCACCATATTCAAGTTTGCTTTTAGTTCTCTCCAACCATTATCAAGAAAGTAAATTCTGAATAAAAACTGTACTTGATGATAATCTTCACGAGGCAAACAATGTTGACGAGAAATATAAAATAACCAAAGGTTTTCTGACACAAGAGACGGTAATAATAAGGTAGTCCAAGGGTATATTGAGACAAGTTTTTCAGGGCTAACAAGTTCCACTGAACAGTGAATTCTGAAACGACAATAACGAGGAAGCTCCACATTTTGTAAAGGGTCTTGGTGTTGAAAAACAACACACAAGGCAAACCCAAACCAGTTGGTACATGATGGTGGAGGAAGCTCCATATTTATTGAATGTCCCACACTCTGATTATTGAACCACTTTGGAATTTCACTTCCAGGGATTACAATTTTCGATCCCTGTAGCAGAAGAAAGATCAATTATTTAGAGAGAGAGAGAGAGAGAGAGAGAGAGAGAGAGAGAGAGAGAGAGAGAGAGAGAGTACCTGAATGACAGATTTCAGAAACCTATTGATCAAGTCTTCATCTGGAACCAATGCAATGCAATTCCAGCAAGTGACACTAGCAGAATACAAATTGAATGCACCTGACAAACTTCGTAAGGAAGTGCAATTGTCCAGATCTACCGTTAATCCTCTGTTTGATGGAAGAGGTGGCAATTTTTGAAGGCTTTTACACCCCTCCAGATGAAGATTCCTAAGCTTAGAAAGGTGTCTAATGCTTTCAGGTAGACTGACAAAATTATTTCTGTCGAGACGCAATGTTTCCAATAAGGTCAAGTAGCCAATATCATCGGGGATATCCCCCTCCTGGAGATTACAATCATATAGACATAAGTACGTCAAAGAGCATAAGCGATTTAGAGAAGACAACACCAAATGCCAACAAAGAGGAGGATCAGGGGGACTCTTTTCAAGTCCAAATAAGCGGCGAAGGCCCCACCCATCCCTTGCTTTACCATCTGATCCACAAGTGGCTTTAACATTACTCATCCAAACTCTCTCATACTTTCTCGTAAATATTAGACCTTTGAGATTTTTCATACCCACAAGCGGCTTTGTCATAGTGGGTCCCACTGTAAGCCACGATAAGTGATCCATGTCTTCTGGGAGTTTGTCAATCTTTGAGCATCCAATCACATCGAGATGGTAAAGAGACTTCAAATTACAAATAGCCCTTGGAAGGTACAAGAGATTTTTGCATTTCCGTAGACTAAAATACCTAAGGCCAACCGCATGTCCAATTGATGAAGGTATTTTCTCGATCGCAGTGTTGTCTAACGTGAGCGAGAATAAATTCTTCATCTGCTCCCCAAATTCTGGAATCGTTTTCACATTTGAGCAGCCACCAAGATTGAAATGTACAAGAGAATCCATTTCAACCTTACTTGGGAGGCTCTTAATGCTTTCACAGCCACCAAGCTGCAAAACTTTAAGTCTTTTGAGGATTGCAATAGACGGATGTATCTCAACTAAATTCTTACAAGTGGAAAGCTCCAAATTCTCAAGATTTGGAAGACCATTGAAATCTGGGGTATTCTTCAATTTATTGGAGCATCTAAGATCAATATGTTTCAAGTTGGGCAAGTCCTGTACAACACCACCGATAAAGTTCAGATCATATACTTAGCTTCCACAACCTTAAAGTTTATTCAAAATAATAAATAAATAAATATATGATTATTTTGTAAATTAAATAGCATTCATTCTCAATGAATATGGAATAAATTTGGAACCTTTGGGATTGTACAATAAAAAAATATCACGGGTTCCTTGTTTTTAAAACTCAAGAAAAATTAAATAACATGTCTATTATTTTTTAAAATAATGTGTTAAAATATCATTGGATAAACTCAAAAGGTGAGTATTGACTAGTGAGTAACCAATATTATCTTTTGTTCATAACTACTCTTACCACTTTTCCCCCCAAAAAACGAACAAGATTGCTATTACGCATCTCAAGTTTACCAAGCAAGTGCGGGCGAAAGCTTGTTGGAAGAAACTTAGAAG